ACAGGTCCTTCTCAAAAAATTAGCATATTGTGATAAAGGTCATTATTTTCCATAATGTAATGATAAAAATGAAACTTTCATATATTTCAGATTCATTGCACACCAACTGAAATATTTCAGGTCTTTAATTGTTTTAATACTGATGATTATGGCATACAGCTCATGAAAACCCAAAATGCCTGTCCCAAAAAATTAGCATATTTCATCCCACCAATGAAAGACAAGTGTTTTTAATACAAAAAACTCCAACCTTCAAATAATCATGTTCAGTTATGCACTCAATACTTGGTCGGGAATCCTTTTGCATGAATGACTGCTTCAATGCAGCGTGGCATGGAGGCAATCAGCCTGTGGCACTGCTGAGGTGTTATGGAGGCCCAGGATGCTTCGATAGCGGCCTTAAGCTCATCCAGAGTGTTGGGTCTTGCGTCTCTCAACTTTCTCTTCACAATATCCCACAGGTTCTCTATGGGGTTCAGGTCAGGAGAGTTGGCAGGCCAATTGAGCACAGTAATACCATGGTCAGTAAACCAGTTACCAGTGGTTTTGGCACTGTGAGCAGGTGCCAGGTCGTGCTGAAAAATGAAATCTTCATCTCCATAAAGCTTTTCAGCAGATGGAAGCATGAAGTGCTCCAAAATCTCCTGATAGCTAGCTGCATTGACCCTGCCCTTGATAAAACACAGTGGACCAACACCAGCAGCTGACATGGCACCCCAGACCATCACTGACTGTGGGTGCTTCACACTGGACTTCTGGCATTTTGGCATTTCCTTCTCCCCAGTCTTCCTCCAGACTCTGGCACCTTGATTTCTGAATGACACGCAAAATTTGCTTTCATCTGAAAAAAGTACTTTGTCCACTGAGCAACAGTCCAGTGCTGCTTCTCTGTAGCCCAGGTCAGGCGCTTCTGCCGCTGTTTCTGGTTCAAAAGTGGCTTGACCTGGGGAATGCGGCACCTGTAGCCCATTTCCCGCACACGCCTGTGCACGGTGGCTCTGGATGTTTCTACTCCAGACTCAGTCCACTGCTTCCGCAGGTCCCCCAAGGTCTGGAATCGGCCCTTCTCCACAATCCTCCTCAGGGTCCGGTCACCTCTTCTCGTTGTGCAGCGTTTTCTGACACACTTTTCCCACAGATTTCCCACTGAGGTGCCTTGATACAGCACTCTGGGAACAGCCTATTCCTTCAGCAATTTCTTTCTGTGTCTTACCCTCTTGCTTGAGGGTGTCAATGATGGCCTTCTGGACAGCAGTCAGGTCGGCAGTCTTACCCATGATTGTGGTTTTGAGTAATGAACAAGGCTGGGAGTTTTTAAAAGCCTCAGGAATCTTTTGCAGGTGTTTAGAGTTACGTCGTTGATTCAGATGGTTAGGTTAATAGCTTGTTTAGAGAACCTTTTCATGATATGCTAATTTTTTGGGACAGGCATTTTGGGTTTTCATGAGCTGTATGCCATAATCATCAGTATTAAAACAATTAAAGACCTGAAATATTTCAGTTGGTGTGCAATGAATCTGAAATATATGAAAGTTTCATTTTTATCATTACATTATGGAAAATAATGACCTTTATCACAATATGCTAATTTTTTGAGAAGGACCTGTAAGGTGAGTAATTGTAAAAGGCACTGTACGTTTTATAATTAAAGGTTCAACAAAATAATGAACTAAGGTTTTGTACCTGCAACCACACTTCCTCTTTCAGCTCTTCCCTCTTCAGGGGTCGCCACAGCGAGTCATCCTCCTCCATCTCACACTGTCCTCACTCCAACTACCTCCATGTCCTCTCTAACTGCATCCAGATATCTCCTCTTTGTCTTTTTCCTACAGCTGCATTTCTAACATCCTTCTACCAATATACCCACTGTCCCTCCTCTGGACATGTCCAAACCATCTCAGTGTGTCCTCTCTTAACTTTATCTCCCAGTTGTTCAACCTGTGCTGTTCCTCTGATGATCTCATTCCTGATCTTCTCCATCCTTGTCACTCCTAAGGACAACCTGAACATCATTTCTGCCACTTCCAGTTCTGTCTCCTGTCTTTTTGTCCATGTCTCTGTCTCCAGACCATACAACATAGCTGGTCTCACCACTGTCTTGTAAACTTTTCCTTTGACGTTTGCTGACAAAGATGACATCTGTGGTGCTCGTTCTTAGCATGAAACCATACTGCTGCTCACAGATAGTCACCTTGTAGCTTGCACATCTCTCTCCTAGAGCTTCATTGTGTGACTCATCAATTTAATTCCCCTGAGGTTGTTATAACTCTGTACATCTGCACCTCAAATATGCCATTATTTGAGTCAAAAACCTCACAACAGCAACTCATCGTACGCCCTCTGCTTTGCCTTAGCTACCTCCCTCTTTGCTCTACATTGCATCTCCTTATATTCCTGTCTCCTCTCTTCAGTCCTCTCACTTTCATATTTCTTCTTGGCTAACCTCTTTCTTTGAACAGTGTCCTGCACTTCACTATTCCACCACCAGGTTTCCTTATCATCTATTCTCTGTCCAGATGACACACCAAGTACCTTCCTACCTGTCTCTCTAATTACTGTTGCTGTAGTAGTCCAGTCATCTGGAGGCCACCCAGAGCCTTCAACAGTTCTTCTCTGAACTTGTCCAGGTCCCTCCAAACTTTCTCTCTACGTTACATCCAACCTGTGGAGCATAACCACTGACAACATTTAGCATCAGACCTTCTACTTCTACCTTCAGACACATCACCCTAGCTGACACTCTTTTCACCTCTACTACATTTTTTGCCAACTCCTCCTTCAGGACCACCCCTACTCCATTTATCTTTCTATCCACACCAGGGTAAAACTGTTTGAACCCTGCTCCAATGCTACAAGCCTTGCTTCCCTTTCACTTGGTCTCGTGGACACACAACATCTACCTTCCTTCTCAGCATCATGTCAGCCAGCTCTCTACCTGTCATTGTTCCCACATTTAGAGTTGCCACCCTCAGTCCTACATTCTTGACTTTCCTCTTCTCCCCCTGTCTCCTGACATGTTTCCCTCCTCATGGTCTTTGACTAACAGTAGCACTATTTCTGCCAGCACCCTGTGTGTCAACTGCATCGGTGGCGGTCGTTGTTAACCCGGGCCATGACCGATCCGGTATGGTGTCGCTTAGATGAACTTGTATGTTAGTTTTGGCAAAGAGTTTTACGTCAGATGTGCTTCCTCACACAACCCTCACCATGCATGTTAGGCTGTCCTCAGGTCCAGACCTCCCTTGCAAAAGAGATCTGTGATCTCAGTGGGATTTGTCTGGTTAAATAAATGTTAATTTACCCGGGCTTTGGACCAGCACCAGACACACTGGCTGGTGCTCCCTATTGGCTGGTTTGTCTGTAGCCACAGTAATCTTGCTAATAGTGGTGTACTTGTAAAACAGCTTAAAGCTTCTATTTATCATAGTAGCCCCTTTCACAAAACACTTTCTACCCATCTCTGTCATTTATTCAGGTCCATGCTGACGGTGGCAGGCTGAAGTCAACTTACTGCCACTTGATGTTGGGTGTCTGATCCACCATTGAGCTAGTCACAGAGCCAACATAGTTAGATGCGTTAACGGGTAAATCAGCATTGTGGTCAAAGGTCAACCATAACCTCGAGAGTCTGTGGGACCATCTGGCAGAGGGATTTAGAGCAGAAGAAATCCAACACATTTTATTCATAGTAATTTGGCAGCATAGCTTCAACATCACTGCACCTCCAGTGGTCCATGTTCCACACATCTTCATTATGTAAGCACACATCGTCGAGGTACACCACCAGCTCTTTTGTAATTATGAACAAACCAGAAGCAGCTTCATCAGGGGCTCTTCTACACGGCCACATGGCAGAACTGTCCCATCGGGAGCATTCAACAACGTAAAGTGTTTTCTGTTCTTCTGTAAAATTTGTTTCTACTTATTTCTCCTTCACGACCTGTTTAGACATCTACCAGGACAGCAGTCAGGTGCTTTTTAAAGTTTGTCCAGGGCTTAAAGATGTCCCATGTGATCGTGTTGTCCACATGGGTCAGTCTGATGATCCTCGCTGCCCGCTCCATCTCACCCTGCCTCCGCTCCTGTACAAGCCAGAGCAGGAACCTCCCCCACAGGAGCAGTTCACACCTACAAGCAAGGACATGTACCTGAGCGCAGCAGAGCTGCAGCCCACAGAGAGCCTGCCCCTAGAGTTCAGTGATGTACGTTCAAACAGCATTGCACCCACAAGTATTCACTATGTTGCGTTGCTTGCTCCACTCATTTAGAACTTCCACTGACCAATACTTTACTATGAAAAAATCTGTCAACTAGCTCTCAATGGTTCTGCCCTGCACCAGTTAAGGATCTGCCCACTGCCAGTACCCACCCCCACTCAGCCCAGTTTATGGGACCACCTTGTTCGTGGTTCCAAGCGGGCTGCACCAAGGTGATGATTTTGACCTAAGTAGGCAGCAGCTGTTGATGGACCAGTAGAGCTACGTCACTGGAAGACCCGCCCAGGAAAACTGTAAACTACCGTACATCTGAACCTCGTCGTGTTGACGGAGGGTGCCACAAGAAATGAGCACATTTCCAGAGAGATATCAGAGATGATGGTGCAGCGTGGCTACACCTGGACTTATGAGCAGTGCCGGTATAAGCTAAAGAAATTAAAGTTGCATTATAGGGCGGTGAAGGGCCACAACGGGTGGAGTAGCTTGAACACAAAAAGACCAGTCATGATACCACTTTACATTGACGATCCCGCCCAGAGCAGGGAAACGGTCACAGTGGCAACTGCTACACCTGAGAAGAACTGATGAGAGACGAGTGGAGTCTCACCTATCAGTGGCAAAGAGGCTTTTGGTTTCCTTTCAGAAAGAAGAAACAAATACAACACAACCATTTAGAAAGGAACGGATGAGAAGGTACCGCGTACTGGTGCAGTGGGGTTTAATCTGTTTGTCAGTGTGTTTTCATGTGGACACGAACAATTCTGAATCGGTTTTAAAATGTCAGAAGTCAATATTTATAGTAACATCTGGCAAAAGGCTAAACAAGTGCAGCACCCAGACAATTTGTATGGTGCACACTACAGAGAGACAGGACCTTCAGCTCTGAATGCCAGTAGGTTTCTATATGGAGAAGCAGAATTAAACACCTTACAGACGATACAAACGGACAACTTTAAGGTTTTATTAAGTAAGATTCAGTGTAAAACCAGTGATTGCTAGTACAAAAATCTGCTCAGTGATGGTACTTTTAAAAATTGTGGGAAAATCTTGCATTTCTGTTTGCCAGTGTGCAATTATAATAGAATTAAAACATATCTTAATTTTGGTTTGGCCACTCATGGTCAAGCTAAAAGTTAATAATTCTAGCTAATTATTTGGAACTTTTGCTCTCTTTAAAATAATGAAAGTATAAATAAAACATAACCAACGTTGTATTAAACTTGAAAAGATAGCTTTGCCTTTTTAAAATCCATTTTTAAGATGTATTTAATACTATTTTTGCCAAGTCAGTGTATTACCAGCAGCCTACAGCGCTCAGTACTCTTGTTTGGAATCAAGGAAATGCCCTGCTGCATCAGGCAACAAATAACTTGTTTTTGTTTTTTGACTAAATACTAAATAATATGGCATAAACTGATTAGAAGCAGATCAAGTGTCTTAATCTCAGTTGTCGCATTAAGATTTAGGACCGTTGCCAGTTTCATGTTTTTGGTCCCAAAAATGAGCACATGGATGAAAGTTGCAGTGAATTAAAGTTTACTCAAAGTCCTGCAGCTGTTGAAACAGGCTTCAGGCGCAGAGACATGTGCTGCTGCCGTCCTGCAGGCTGTGGTTTGTATATTCAGTGAACAAACGTGAAGGGGATGTGCACATTCTGTCACTAAAGTCCAGGTGTAAAAAGCACACTACCTGCAAAAGGACAGTGTGACTTCCAGCTGCAGGTGAATTTAAAAGAAAAAAGTGTCAGTCGTATGATTTATTCAAATGACCTGTCTGTTCAGACTTGATATTCAGAAATCACTATTCATTCCTACTTCCAGTGTTGGAGAAAATGGTTTCAGATACAAATAAAAGTTTTGTATCAACATGACTTTGCCAATTAACCAAAATCTTCTATCATTTATTTCTAACATTTTAGAAGTTTCCAAAACTATTACTTTTTAACAGCTTGTGGTCAGTTTTTAAATATCTGTAATAACCGGCTCCCAAAAATCAGAATCCTGATCTGAAATCATCTTGAACTACTGCTATCCAAAGTAATTTGTGTAAGAATGCAAATGGAAACAAATCTCAGATTATTATTTAAGTCTTCTGACTAATTTCTCTGTTTACAAAGGATCTTGATGTTGAAGGGGACGGTATGCAGGGTCCTCCGTCCCCGCTGCAGTTTGATACGGCCCTCGCCCTGGAGGACCAGACCATCAGAGCTATTGCTGAAGCACCTATGGACATCCTAACAGGAGAAGATCCCGACCAGGTGGACCTGGACACCTCAGGACAGGAACTTTCAGAAAGAGATGTGGACGCCATCATAAATGACCAGGTAAACAATTACAATGTTGATTTTATTTAACGTCTTCATTAAAGGTTGTTCTCACAGACGGTTCAGTTTAAAAACCCAGTCTTACTTTTTAAAGTAACGTTTCTCCTGTTTTTATAATGATGCGTCCAATAGATTTATAGATGGCAAATCAAAAATAAAATGCTTCACTCTGAGGAGAGAAAGTTGCCAGGAGGCAGTCGGGTTTAAATGTTTGGAGTTTATCATGAATATCTGCAAGGTTCACTTCTAGGTTCAGTTCAGGTTTTGGTTTGATTATACTTGGAACCATTCTTTGACACAACTACATGAGCTAAAATCTTTAAAATATATATACATATATTAAATATCTAAAAAATCTATACAGTAGTCCCTCGCTACTTCGCAGTTTGTTTATCGCAGACTTGCTCTATCGTGGTTTTTCAAAATAAGAGTGGACTTGATACACAATTGGCAGATTGATGAATGAGCCGCACGATCGGCAAAGAATTTTTATTTAAGGTAAATTATTTTAAAATATTTAGTACCTGCTGCACCTTTGTGCAGCCCATACTACTACTATAATACTTTAGGATAAACTTCCTGCTGCAGCTGATCAGCTGTTCACCGTGCAGAGTGGTGAAGTGGGCGTGGCCAAGAGTGCTTGCAGGTGGCAAAGAGCAGAGGAGGCAGAGAGCTGAAAACATGACATTTTGTGCTCTTTTAGAGCGTTAAGTCTTTTAAAACATTGTTTGGAATATTCTAAAAACGTTAAGTCAGGTCCTTTGGACGTTCAAAAAAAATAATAAATTGTAGAAATGTAGAAATGTTTCAGCTCCTCTGAGTTTCCAGACCTGAAGGCAGTGTTCCTGGCTTCCAGCAGGGTGCGCACCTCTGCCTTCAGCCAAGGTTTTCTGTTTGGGTAGCTTTTAACATTTCTGATAGTGGAGACGGTGTCAGTACATGTACTGA